TACAAAGAAGATGGAGACTCTCTTTTTACAGAGAGTCATACGGAAAAGAGGAGGGGTAAAGGGTGCAAGTTACTTCTGGGGGTATTCCAGTTGGATGCAAGAGGAAAACTTTTCACAATGAGAATGACCAGCCATTGGAATACTCTCCAGTGGTGGCTTCCCCAACATTGGACACTTTGAAGATTCAGTTGGACGAGGTGCTGGGCCATCTTGTCTAGACTGTGCTTTTGTCTAGAAGGAGCTTTTGCCAAGAAAGGTTGGACCAGATGATCCTTGAGGTCCCTTCCAACCTGGTATTCTGTGATTCAAATATTGGTGTTACAAACAGAGGAGCATCGTTGGTGTGTGAATGTGCCTGGATCAAAATTGGGCAAAACATTCAGTATTTCTAGTTATGGGCCACCAGTGTTAGAAACTTAAGTATAATTTTCAGTTAGAACAATGCAAGTCTGTTTGTGTATTCTTGGATTTGCACATCTTAAAGTATGAGCAAGTAAACATTAAGTATAGGTTTCTGTTTATCAGCTGGGAAAGCTGTGTCAAGAACTATCTGCTTCAATGCCCTCTGTGTCATGAGAGCTGCTGAGTATGTCAGAAGCAAAATAGGAGTTTGAACTTCAGTCTTGAAGTAAAGTAACATCTTTCTCAAAGTTTTATGTTTCTCTTTTATGTACCTGCTAGGTATATATCCTGTCAATTTACTTGACACATTAATTTTTGACACTTAAGTGGAAGCAGAAGAAATTCTGTTGTTGACCTTTAGATGCTCTATACTTCTGTTCGTTGATGTCTTTATATACAATTATATCTCAAGAACCATTGAGTGAGTTGTAACTGCTTTTTCAGTGTTTGCTTTAATTATAAACCATACATCCTGTTCATTATTCATCTGTGTTCAGTCTTCTGCTCAGGAATGGTCTTATTTTATCTAGCTGTGCCAGAACACTATATTTAAAGACTCGATAAATAAAAAACAAGTTCTTGCTCCTTTTGATGTTTGGTGATCTCAAAGCAAGTGAATGGAAACTTTTTTTCTTTATATGTTCTCCTAAGTAAGTGTTCTGATGGCATATTATTTGTATTAACCCCAGGTACAGGAAACATGGGAAAATGATCTTAACTTGTTCAGAGCCCTTGAGAAAAAAAATACCTGGCCCTGACAGCTAAAAGGTCTAGCTAGGAGAAAACAGCTGAACAGCTGTAATGCAAAAAATCTCTGTTGTTTTCAGACTTGTTTTTGAGTGTCGTCTTAAATTAGTACTGCATTCCTCAGATGCCAATAAATATGAACAGCGGCATCTTACTTGTATGTTACTCATCTCGTTTATTAAATAAGTGGTTATGTTGGATTGCTTCAAAGTTAGAACTAAAATTCTCTGGGAAAATAAAGTTTGATCTCTGCTAACTTGTCGAGAGAGAACAGATTGGCTAAAATTATTTAGGTTCCCACAGGTGAAAATCAATTACTTCAAACTGCCTGAAGTTCTTTCATGTGAGACTTACGAGGAATACCAGCCAGGTGACCAGTATGGTGCTTGTCTGGCTTGTTGGCCTGTAGTGCTCTCTCTCTGTTGCCGTCAGTAATTTTGTATTTTGAAACTCATCAATAATGTTATAGAGCAAACTGAATGAGGCCTTCCTTAGCAAATATAATCCATTCTCTTTTATGAAATAGTCTTCCTTTGCTTCCCCCTTCAGATTCTGACCACGCACAGTGTCATACATCTGTGTTTTTTGATATTTTGAACGAAGATACTCTGTCAGATTCTACTGTCAAATACTGAACTAGATTCAGTAAAGAAAATTGTATTTACAGGTTTTATGATTACAGCTTGTGAAGAAGCTTTGTTACTTATAGTGCGCATAATTCCAGTGTGAATCACCTTGTTAGCTTGCTAGTTGCTGAAGTGAGACAATGATCATAGTTTTCATGCTAGTCAAAGACTGTCAGTATAACAGAAGCCTTTTTAGAAGCTTACTTTTGCAAAGCCAGTTTTGCAAAACCTTTCTAACAAACCTGCCGCTTAACAGCGTGTAGTGGAATTCATTCACAGCTGCATCTGTTTTCTGCACCTTCATGGGAAGTGCATCCTTATGATTGGTGATGTATGCTTTCAATTATTGTGCATCAAATAGGTTACAGTTAGAAGGAGCTTTGCTATTGAGCTTCTTTTACAGAGATTATGGCAGAATCTGTCTTTCTGTAGCCTTTCATTGCTTTTACATTAGTAATGTTTCTGATATATTTGTGTGATGATAGTACGCTTGTGAAAAGCCCAAATGCAGTGTTATGGGTAACAACAGAACAATATGAAATACTGTATGATGGAATGATTTAAGATCTAAGTAGGTGTTTGCTAAACCCCTTGTATGATTGCCTCGTCGGACAAGCTGATTGTTGAGTGAGTAGGTAATACATGAGCACATTATAGTGAAATATCTAAGGACCAGTTATGTAAAAAAAATAATACAGAAAAAATAAACCATGATGTTAAAATTAGATAGGAGGGTGAAAGGGACAAGAGGTCTGCTAATGCATGTGCTATCAAAAGAAAGGAGTGTAGAGAGCAATGAGAGAAGGTGTCGTAAAGGTAAGTGATCTGCTATCAGTAGCGGTTGAAGTACCTGGCTTCATGATCTTCAGTACCAGGCCTGAATGCTGCCAAGTCAGTGGGCAGCACAAATTAGGTTTGGTTTGAATATGGGCCTCCTGATGTGCAGATGATCCATTACCCATTATATAAATAAATGTAAACAGAAAAATCTACTGTCTGAAAAATCAGCCCTTTGTGCCATGTGGCTTCAGAGAAACCTTGATATGTTGTTGATTTAGAGCCCTAATGCTCAGTTGTCATATCAAATGTCAATTCTGTGGCGTCAATTGTCAGACCATGGGGCTGTGCTTACTAGTCAGAAACATATGCTAGGGAAGACGAGGTTGTTGTCAGCAATTCATGCATCAGAAACAGGAGGCGCCTGAACAAGTGGATTAGCTAGATGCACAAGGTCACTTGGGCTGGACAATAGAAGTCTAATAGTTCTGGAGGAATTTTAAAATAAAACACTTAACTGCCTCAGTGGTAGCACACAGGCTTACTGAAATGGACTGTTGTCATCTCAGATGCAGGAAAATGACTGAAAAGTCTTCCTGCATATAGAGCTGAAATATCTAAATGAATCTGATATATTGGAGGCTAACGGCATCATTTCTGAACTTAACTGCAGAGTCAGGCTGTCTTTTTACACAGAACCTTAAAAATACTGCTGAGATGTCAAAGTAATTGAGGAGTAAGAGCTAAAATAATGTTCTAGAATGAGAAAACAGAAAGGGAAATTTTAAAACAGAATTGAATAGTAAAAAGGGTAATGGTAGAGGCAGGACACAGGTCTCCTGAGTATGTACCCTGACTGTTAGCTGTTGCTGTAGAAGTAGTACTACGTGCAGTTCAATTAAGCTGATGTGGGCATGTCTAGTTGGAGTGCAATACCAGCTTTGTTTTGTTTTGATGCACCTTATTGTTAAGAGAAATACTTATTTGTGCTTAGGAAGGATCGTGACCTTGGATGTTGAGGGCTGCCACGGTCCCAATGTCATGTTGCCTTGGATAGTAACAAGTGTTCTGGCATTGACCTTTTCCTCTTGTAATAAGGCCAGTATGTGGTGAATTTAGATACATGGCTGAAGATGTGTTACTGTTATAACTTCTTATGGAAGCTCTGAAGAGAATTTAGCCCTGTGCTTTCTTTTAGTGCAGTGTTTTCCAATCTGTCTTTGATTTCTGGACCCTTAAACATTTTCTGATGAGAGTATGGATGCCTGTGTAGTAAATGTAAGCCTGCTGGCAATCTTGCTGAGTTACCTTTGTGAATGTTTCAGACTGTTAGTTAATCCATTAATAGATTACTGTAACCACACACAGGGTATGGGATTAGCCACTGCTCTTGTGCTTCTGGCTTTGCCTGCAGTTGAACTTTGCTGTATTCTTGTCACTTGATGATTTTCATTATGCAAAGTGGGTTATCTCTGTTCTAGAGTATAGTTCCTTGAAAAGAGAGGCAAGGTCGATCTCATGGGAAGCTTTCCGTTTCGTGGCAGATACTTCAAAGAGTTAGTTATGGAGTTAATTGCAGAGAGTAGAGCTTGGCAGTGTTGTGTTCAGTGACTTGTTCTGACAGACCAGTGGTGTGCTGCAGTATGTATCGGTTCTAGCATTTTATAATATAGGATTTGTAGACTTGAATTTTGAGAATAATGTAAGTTTATGGATATATGTCATGATATTTGCTAGGTTGGTGTGAATTTCTGATCTGCTGTTGGTGGGCAGGGGACACGATTTTGCCATTGTGATTTAACTAACCTTTAATAAACTAAATTCAGAGTGTATGTTAGTAAATACAATTTTATTGCAACTGTGAACTTGCCTTTCAGGGGACAGAAAGCATTTATTAATAAATTTACAATAAGACATGTTTACAAACAAACCTGAGTAATTTGTGATGCATATGAAGAAAGCCTGTTAAGTTTTCTTCTCTCCTCCTTTATTTAACATGAGAAAGAGGAAGAATACTGCATCTGACTTGCCTGATCTTTCTGGAGAGTGTGTCTTGGAAGCAATGTGGAGGGAAGAAGGTCTCTCAGGACATTTTAGTAAAAGCTGTTACCAAGTGGTTTAAGCAGATTTACTTTTACATTAAAACCTGCTGTTTCCCGATAGGTGCTGCTAAAAAGCAAACAAAACCACCCCAAAACTTTAATTAGTTTGTTCCGTAATATGTTTGCTGTAGGTTCGCACCTTTATGCTTTCCTATCAAGTACCAGGGAGAGTGTCCCTCAGATACTGACCTCATCTTTGTGGCAGTTCTTACTCTGCTGCAGTTTAAGATTGTTCTTTTCTACAATAGATTCAATCATTGATTGTGTTTCATTTAGGGAGGGAGACATTTGAGTCTGTTCAACTTGGCAAATACTTGCTCTCTCCAAAATAAAGAGACTATGGGCCATGATCTTTGGGTCAGCAGAATTGATTTAATTTTTATCAAACAAAAAAAACATTACTCTTTTTCTGCAGGTGAAGTTCTAAAAAACTTAAATAAATTCTACAAAAGAAAAGAAATCCAAAGACTAGGAGCAGAAAATGGATTAGATGGTAAGAAAATGTTGTAAGATTTTTATTAACTTTTTTAAAATGTGAAATCTGTTTTTATTTGGTAATGGTATTAGGTAGATCTGATCTTTTATGTGTCTCATGACACTGCTTGTTTAGGTTCTCTCTGTCACTCAGTTCAAATAACCTTCATCTTTACTTGTAGTATCTCATGTTAAGGTAGAGGTTTTTAATGGGGCTGCTTCAGTGTTTTGTTGAGTGTTTACAAATACGGGTTTGTGATCTCCGTCACGTTCACTTTGTTCCTTTTTTTTGGCAGCTCGCCTGTTTCACCAAGCGTTTATAAGCTTTAGGAAGTATATCATGGAATCCAGTTCTGTGAGTGCTGATTTGCATATTATTCTGAATGATATATGCTGTGGTGCAGGCAAGTATCTGGAGTGCTTGTAAAATAAAATACATGGTTTTTGTCTTGTTTTTGACCTGTATGCTTACCTACATACCTGTGGACCCCCCTGCTATGCTGTAAAAGAGGTTAAAAATCACTGCTTCCTCTTCAGAAACATTTGTGCCATCCTATGGAGTCCTTAAATCTTCTGAAGTGGAAACAAAAGAGGTGGAGGTCTTGGCAAGAAGCAGCCTGTTGTTTTATAGCATCCGTTCACTGCTGAAATGAAAACAGTACTGTTCAGTTTATTCCTCTCTTAAAAATTCAGTAGTCACTAGGGGGCACTTTGAGAGTTTTCTCCTGGCCAGGTGGCTTTACATACTTGGGAATACAGCTCTGTGACTGCTCTGCGTCACTGTGGCACTAATAGGAGTGTTGTTTCCTTGCTTACTGCATCGTGTGTTGTAATTAAGGGCACTTAACCAAGAGGTGATGTGAGCTGGTAACAGCAGAAACAGCCTTCTGCAGAGTCTGAGCTTCAGATCTTTGGCGTAGTTATCTGTGTCTTTAATTATGGTAATTTAAAGGTTAGAGTGGACATAAGTTTTGCCTTAAAATGTAAGTGTGTAGATTTTAAATGTTTATCTTCTTAGGAAATTTAAAGTGTCTTTTTATTATAGTTGTGCATAAAATCTTCCACGATTCCCTCATTTCCACTCCTTATTTACTTGTATGTGAGCATTGTTTATGTTGCCTTAAAACTCACACATATAGGAGTGTAAAGGGTTGTTTACTGCGGCAGTTTTGAAGTTTTTTAGTTGAGCTTTGCTTGTCCAAAGATGATAATTGAAAATACTACACTTTTTAAGTTTTTTAAATTCTTAACAATAATTTTGATTCATTGAATACTAATTCTCAATTTTTAAAAAACCCCTCAAACCAAAAAACACTACTTTTTTTTTTGTATGAGTGTGTTTGATAATAAAAGTTTTTTAGATCCAGATAGTTCTTTGAAATTCTATGAGAGTTGGACAATTGGAGTGTGACCTGAAATGACACCTTTAAGGCCACACATCTGTTCTGCAAACATTCAAAAGAATGAAATTGGGTGTCTCTTCTGAGTTGATTTTTTCCATTTTTGTTTTCTCACCTAGGAACTGGAGACTCGGGATTTTGAACCGGCATCCCAAGTTTTAGTAGCTTAGAGAAGCTATAAACTATTCTATTTTTCTGTGTTCATTCATAAAAGAATTTTAGAAGCTTTTATTTTATTTTATTCCAATGCAGCACATGAATTTAAGAAGAAAAGGCTAAAATCTTCTTAGGACAGAAAAGCTGTTTCTCATCCAACTTTTCTGTAGCTTCTCATTTTATTTAGAAGTTCTCTAGACGTGTGGGCTAGCCAGAGTGAATATACTGAAATGAGATTTTTTTTTTCCGTGCTATTATGTTTACATTACATTGCTTAATGAGTCATGTTGGTTTACCTTTCTGCCATTGAGATAATTATTGAACTTTGTAGAGAGTCAGAAGTTGAAAGAATTATGTAAGTGTGTGGTGGAAGAAGTAGATTTTTTTTTTTTTTTTTTAAAGTTTATTATGAAGATGCACACCTTCAGACAAGCAAGCAAACTTTCCTAAAAGGGTTTGTCTTCTAGGTCACGTGGATGATCTCTTTCCATTTTTCCTGAGACATGCAAAGCAGATCTTTCCGATGCTGGACTGTATGGATGATCTGCGCAAGATCAGTGATTTAAGATTGCCTCCCAACTGGTCAGTGTGTTTAAGTAGTGTCATAGAATTTCATAGTCTGTGGACTTAAGCTTTATGATGTATAATTGCATTATATTTTCAGTTCCATTTTTCTGTTTTTACAACAATTTGTGTCAGGAATGGGACAGACTTTTTAGTAGGGCCTGTAGCGGGAGGACAAGAGGTAATGGTTTTAAACTGAAAGTGGGTAGATTCAGACTAGATATAAGGAAGAAATGTTTTATCATGAGGATGCTGAGACACTGGCACAGGTTGCCCAGAGAGGAGGTAGATGCCCCATCCCTGGAAACATTCAAAGTCAGGTTGGACGGGGCTCTGAGCAACCTGATCTAGTTGAAGGTGTTCCTGCTCATTGCGAGGGGGCTGGACTAGATGGCCTTTAAAGGTCTCTTCCAACCCAAACCATACTATGATTCTATGATCTTTGTTACAAGATATGTTGCAAGCAATTATAAAGAAAATAAGATTATATCAGCTATGAAAGTTGCTGAGTTGGTATTGCCTTTCCAAAAAGCTGCCTTCTGGCTGTATCTGTTTGGGAGGTAGCGCACCAGAACCTTAAAATGCTAATATACCCAAGGAGAGAGACCATGATAATGAGAATTATTTTGAACACGATGTGCGAATTCCACTCTAAATCTTTGAAAGCGTTGTATGCTGTAGAAGATGAATGTCTAAGACATAGTAACCTCTTTATACTGTCTCTATTTAAGAATTTGATCTTTCTGCTTTCAACACACATTGATAAGTCCATTAATAAGTGAATGTTTAAGCTAATTTGCAATTTCCCCTCAGTCAGTATCCAGAACACCAGATAAATCTGCAACAGATCTGCTTTTTTGTGATTGTTTTAGGTATCCTGACGCCAGGGCTATTCAGAGAAAAATAATATTTCATGCTGGTCCTACAAACAGTGGAAAAACTTACCATGCTATCCAGAGATTTTTGTCAGCAAAATCTGGAATATACTGCGGTCCACTAAAACTTCTGGCTCATGAGATCTTCCAAAAGAGTAATGATGCTGTCAGTATGTTATATTACTTACCTACATCCTTAGTACTGGAACAGTCTCATGAATGTATGTTTGTAAAGCGCTGTAGTTGCTTAAGGTAGTCCATGAAGCAGTGTGCTTGAACCTTTATGCCTTTGCTTTGCAGTAGTGTCAGCTCATGTGAATACCATTTGTGGATTTCTGCTTTAGGCGTGCAGAATGGAACATTGTTTCCCCAAATGGAACATCACTTTCCCCAAAGCACATGCCGTGCAATCATCCCTGTAACCTGCCTCCATTTTCATGTAATTTTTCCCTCCCTGGGTTTAGCTAGGTTCTACCAGTAGCTTTTTCAGTGTGAAAACCGTGTCTTCTTTTACCCATGACCTTTATTTTAGCTTGTTCACAAGAAATTACCCTTGCTTAAGTCCCCTCAGCCTTCTGTTTCAATGTTTAAATATGTTTCATTCAACCGTCTAACAAAAAGTTCTGCAGCTTCAGATGTGTTGAGAGCAGTGCTGTGTATCAGGTCCCTAGAGGAAGCTTTCTTTAGTACTTCTTTTTTTATTGCTTCCAGCATCTTTTTGAAGGCTCCTCACTCACCAGTGTGTATGTACAGTAGTGTTTACCAAATGATCTTGTGTTTTCGCTTTTTTTAATAAGTCTATGATTTAGAATTTGTAATTTCCTATTATTGGTTTATCAAAGCATCACATAAGAAAGATTGGCTTTTCCTAGGAGATACCTGTAACATTTTTACTGTGTAGCGAACGTGGATAGCATGTAGTGGTGTTCCTTGTTAGTAGAGTTACTGCACACAAGGTGGTGGCCCCTGCTGTCCCTCACAGCTAGTCCTCATGAACTCTTGCTGCGTGAGTATGAGACAGCAGGGCAATCACTAAATGAACTGGAGGAGGCTGGAGCTTGCAAGGCTCCTTTGCTGCTGACCTTGCTTTATGAGCCCCTTGTACTACAGCTCTTCGACAGATCTTTTGTTGCAGATGTGACAACTCTGAAATGCTCAGAGGACGATATAATCTCCTGCAGGAGCAGGGGAGGGCATCTAACTCTTCATTATACTCTTCAGTCTGATAGGACTTAAATATAGGGCACAAATCTCAAAAGGCTGAGTAGTTATTTTCTGGATAGCTTCCATTATACTGTCTTTAAAAGTACTTTTAAGAAACTGATTTATTTTTTTTCCCCTTTGGAAAGGATATTCTGTTATAGTCGAGAAATTTAACATGAGTTTTCTGCTTTCCTTTAGAATGTGCCATGCGACTTGGTGACAGGGGAAGAGCGCGTGTATGCCAATGAAGATGCCAGACAAGCTCCTCATATTGCTTGTACCATTGAAATGTGCAGCACTAATACACCTTGTATGTATACAAAACTATTGCAGTCATATCTGTGGTACCTTTATGTTTATTATTGCTTGGACTCTGAAGTAGCCAAGCTATTCTGAATGACTCTTACTTGAACAATTTCTGAACTGTGTTAGAACAGTTAATAAAACCTGGATCATCTCAGAATAGCTTTTTGGTGGCAGAGGATTAGCTTGATTTGAGCAAATTTTTTAGAAAGCCTTCAAGTTCCTTCCTGTGTTGTATTGCTGTTCTAGATGCTCTTCCTTGGTGCATTATATTTTTCTTCTTTGTTTTAAGATGAAGTTGCTGTGATTGATGAAATCCAGATGATCAGAGATCCTGCCAGAGGATGGGCTTGGACACGAGCCCTTCTAGGTAAGCTTGTTAGTGTTGACAGTGAACTAGTTTAATGTGACTAAAATGGCACATTAAATTTAAGCTTAGCGGTCAGTATATTTATAAGTGGTTACCATGTGTGATGCAAAATAAGAGCGAGTATTGTTTCTTCATGTATCTTCTCACAGCAAGTTAGAGAGATACTCTGCCTCAAAGGATTTGTCTGTATGGCAGTGAGCTCTCATGTTTAACTTAATGAATGTTTTTTTAAAAAAATTATTCTCTAAGTTATACAGATGCCTTTTTTAGTTTTGCTTCCTTGGATAATACAGAGTCTTTGTGTTGTTACACTGTGCTGTCCTTTGACATTGATTATTTTCTAGAAGTATGGGTTTTTTTGTTCAATTAAAGCAACACAATTTTTCAGAGATTTCATTATGAAGACATACTGTTAAATGTATGGCAACATGGTGAAGATTAAATATTTTGTAGTGTTAATTTCAAATGGCTCATTTATAGGGCTTCATTGGTCTGTTAATTTCTTTTAAAAATGCTTCTTTTGATAATTGTAGAATTTTTCAAGAGGAATTTTTGAAACTAATTTTTCCTCAAATTTGGAACAGAAGTTTAGAATCTGATTCTCCCTGTGCTCTTCCCTTCACTGCTTTTGATGCTAAGTTTTAACAGGATGATTTGTCACACTTCCCCTACCTGCCACTTTTTCCCCTTTTTCTATTCTGACTGCATTAGAGACGTATTCATAATTTTAGGTGGTCATGCAGAAAACAAAGCTCTTCAGTTCTGCTGTGGTTTGGGAGTTAGTAAAACATTAGTAGTAAATAAAACACGCTCAAAGCTTTGCTCCATTTGTTCAGTGGTTAGGGTATTTTGTTTTGGCTGAGAGGATGCAACAAGGTGTTAGCTGCTGCTGATCATACTAATGGATTTCAAAGTCTTGCTAATACAAGATCAAGAGCAGCTGGAGCTCTTCTAGGAAGTAGTGTATTGTGTGAGAGGCTCTAGGTACTGGTTTGGGATGTGGAAGGAGGTGAAATGTCCTCATTGATGTGTTAAGCAAGCAAAATGTAATTTTAGGGTAACTTAAAAGTCAGCTAAAGCTACTGTTGTCTATAAATATGTAACATTTTGCATTTTATTTCATTGGATCTTGTTCAGGACTCTGTGCAGAAGAAATCCACGTTTGTGGAGAAGCTGCTGCTATTGACTTGGTGACAGAGCTCATGTACACTACAGGGGAGGAAGTTGAAGTAAGTTCTTTAATTCCGTAAAGTTACAGACAGAACATCAGTTTTTCCTTGCTGAAAACAGAATTTGGAGTCTTTTGGGGATATCACTGATCAAAGTTATTCTTGCAGGAGTTATTGTTAAAATGTTTCTCAATTCCTGTAAGCAAGAGGAGATGTTGCAGATTTTTTTTATTTTTTTTTTAATAGTGGTATTGTTTTGCTTAAAGAAGGTGAATGCTTTCCTAACTTCCCCTCAGGGAATGCTACAGCTGTTTAGGGCCTTTCTTTACAGTTCTGTTCTTCCTGGAGGAGTACACAGTGCCCTCAAGTTTGCTTAGGTTACTGGATTTGTTGATAGTTATTCTCCATATGATGAGGAGAGGTGTAAAAGAGCTAATGCTTCTGGAAGAAACTCATTGAAAGATCTCTGAAACCCAGCTTTACTGCCACAATTTTTTTGTTGTTGGGAAGATTCCTTTGTGAGGAATATTTAAAAGCATAAAATGTGGTCCTAAGAAAGTCCAGCCTGCATGATTTCCTTGTGAATTAGCTGTAGCTGTATATATCTGTGTGTGGTGGGACATCTAATTCTGAAAGGGGACCAGTTACAGCATTCAGGTGACTGACTGAAAACAGACTCATTTCTTGATAGAATGGCTATTGCTACATAACCTGTATACTTCTTTTTGTGAATCTAGTTTACGTGTAAAAATATACAGTTCTTGTGTTTCTTGAAAAGGCTGTATAGTTCTCAGCTTGGCAAGTTCTGCAAGTATGCAAGTGCATAAGGTGTATGTCACCTTCTCCCAGTAGTTATCCTTTCAGGACTGTGAGAGGTCCCTCAGTGTTACAATCAATTGAGATAATAGCCATGCTGGCTGATATTCCACAGGAATTTTTCATTTTAGAACATACTATCTCTGACAACTCCTTTAATTCTAGGTGCGGAACTACAAGAGACTCACTCCTCTTACTGTGCTGGATTATGCCTTAGAATCTTTAGATAATCTCCGGCCTGGGGACTGCATTGTCTGTTTCAGTAAGAATGACATTTACTCAGTCAGTCGACAGATTGAAGCCAGAGGATTAGAATGTGCCGTCATATATGGCAGTCTGCCACCAGGTAAAGCACTCTTCCTTTTATTTTTAAGAGAATGTTCTGCTTCTTGCTGCTTTCTTAGAAATTTTATTTAAAATGAAGCATTACAAGTTTTCCTAGTTTTTCATCTCTCTCTTTCATAGTCAAAGTTATCAACTTTTCTTGACTGGTGTTTTAATCTTGGGATTAGACTTTTATTATGTACTTAATATTGATCTCCAGATAGATGTAAGTAAATGAAGTCTACCCACAGCTCTGGAAATGATTTAAATCCCTCCTGCCCCCTTCCCCCCAACCACAGCCAAATACCAATCAAATACCTTTTTTTTTTTTTTTTTTTTTTTCCCCTCAGCCTATTATAAAGGCATCAGGCTTAGTGATACATTGTCTTTGTTTTGTAAGAAGAGTTTGCTATGTGAACTGTTTTGTCATTCATTTAGGAACAAAACTTGAACAGGCAAAGAAATTCAATGATCCTGATGATCCATGCAAAATTTTAGTTGCTACAGATGCAATTGGAATGGGACTCAATTTGTAAGTACTCGGAACAGGTTACAGTATGATTTTTTTTTTGGGTTATGTAATATGCATTAGTTTCCTCGCTTGCTTTCCCCCAGTTTGACTAATTTGGCTGGATATCTGCCATGTCTAGGTAACAGAGTACATACATTTTAATTCTGAAGTAGTGATCAATTTGATTGGGTAGAGCTAAGCTTTAATTCTAAAACCGATTCTAAGAATTAAATGGCTAATTTGGCCTAATTCTGTGTGATTGTAGACACTGTTAAGATCCTTTTGATTCACTGGGGTCGGATGTGCTAGGTTGTCAAGAGTATCAGTCCAGTTTCAGATATATTATGTTGCTGAAGGCAATGCAGCCACATTGTTATAAACTACTGAGGCAAATGACAATGAATGGATTGGCACATATTAGGATTGTTGTGTGTAGGGATGATGATTCTCCTGCAACTAACCAGTAGTCCTGCCCTGCCCTTTTGAATATGCTATGTCTGTAAGTAGCATTTGTGGCCGCTTAATTTATGGAGGGAAAAAAGTCCCCAAAACAGAAAAAAAAAAAAAGAAAAGAAAAAAGGCTTTAATTCTTCTGTAGTAGGTTATTTATTGGAAATAATTTGCAAAAAAAGGATTTCTCTTTGTTTTTTCCCCCGAACTATTTCAGGTGTATAAAAAGAATAATTTTTAACTCTATAGTAAAGCCAACTATCAATGAGAAGGGAGAAAAGGAAATAGATTCCATTACAACTTCTCAGGCTCTACAAATCGCAGGCAGAGCTGGGCGTTATGGCTCATCCTTCAAACAAGGAGAAGTCACTACAATGCATCGTGATGACCTTATGCAGCTGAAGGAAATTTTGAGTGAGCCTGTGCGCCCTGTGAAGGTGAGCGGCTTAGTACCCAGTTTGTACAGATGTGCTCTGGAGCTGTTTTGCTATGTTCTGATACCAAATTATTTTTTCTTGTGTGTCTACAATTTAGTAACAAAAATGGATTGTATCATGACAGAGTGACTATATGGCCCATTTGGAGGCTTGCAATATTTTAATATATATATTGAAACTGGTCTTTTAAGAATTAAAAGCTCAAACACAAAAGTTCTTAAGTTCCAGGTAAGTGTGCTAAACAAACTGGGCTCTGTAGGGTGCTTTGGTGTCTTGCATTTTTGTCTTTCTAGTGTTGGTTTCTGATGCACTAACTTAAGAACAATATTGAGAATTGATGGAAAATGTTTTCTTTCTTTTCCCTTTAGGCAGCTGGCCTGCATCCTACTCCTGAGCAGATAGAAATGTTTGCTTATCATCTCCCTGATGCCACTCTATCCAATCTAATTGTAAGAATGATCAAAATATTAACTTCTGCTTTAGAAACTAAGCATTGCTTATAGTCACTGCTTTTGTACGAACATGCACTTCGGGAGCCTAACAGCCAGCCTTGTGTGTATCTTTTATCAGTTGGATTCTTCTCTTGACCACAGCAGTGACTGCAAATACATTTAGAATGCTTAACTTTTCAGTGTTATAATAAATTTGAAAGCTGTTGAAGTGTTTAAATAAGTTTACGTGTGTTGAAGATTGTGCAACAACCTTTTTGTTTCACCTTTCCTGTATTTTAAATGTAGACATTTTGGTCATAGGCTGAAAATATTAGAGATTGAAATTTTGATAAATTTATGTGAAAATTCCTGAGCAACTGGGCTGATCATGTCAGATTTCTGAGCACTATATATTTCTGACATCTGAGCACTACCTGATTCTGTGGACCTTATGGTAAAACAGTGTCTGCTTAATTTGGAGGAAACAGATTTTTGTGGGATCTACTTGGTCTTACCATTAGCTGGATAGTAGAATTTTTAGAAGTGCCTAAACCTTTTAAAGCAGACATCAAGCTTCCAATGCTGTATCTAAAAAAAATAGTACACTGAGAAATTCTTAGTAGCTTTCATGGATTTAAATGCATATTATTGTTCTCTGCTCATGTACTGTTATGTAGCAAAGTGTACGATTTCTAACCTTGAGGTAGAAGATTATTCTTGGAGACCTCCTGGAAGACTTAGGCTGGTAGAGTAACAACACACTTTTAAAATTTTACTATTGAGAATTTCTGGGCTAGCATGGAAGTATTAAGATAAACAAAGCATGTTATTACTGATCCCTTAAGTATTCAGTCACATATTTAATTAAGCAACTCAGTGTTTCTTTAAAGATCTTTTTAAAAATCTTTCAAAGATTTACACTAGATAAATAATTGTGGGGGCCCATAAAAATTCCCCCTGCAGTGTGCAGTGGCATCTCTTCTTTCTTCAAACCTTGGATATGTTTCAGGTATTCTTTGAACTCTATTGCAATACCATATTTATCTTTTGATTTCTTTCTTCCTAAAATAGATCTGTTTCTGACATTGGGCTAAAAATACCTCAATTATTGATTTTTATGCTGTAAAGTTAGCTTTTTGGGTCACGCTAAGTGACAAACCTGGAACGAATTCTAAACATCGTAATAACTGGTTCCTGTGATTGTGTTCATTGTAACTAAAATGTATGCTTCCAGAACTTTGTATTGGATACTTAGGTGGCTAATTGAAAATGCTTAAATAAAGCATAGTGCTTTATATCTTTTCCTCTGATCCTCTGTTAGAGAATTTAATGAAAATCCTGTTAAAAGAGTAGAGAGAACTCCCCTGCCCCCTTTTTTATTACTGTGAGTCAAATTTGATATTTTTAACTGTTCTTTCAGTATAACTAGCCTTTGAAAAAACTAAATCATTGTTTGGTTTGGTAATATAAACTTTAACAACCCTCTCCTGTAATAACATCCTCTTTGTTTGGTTATGTTTTCACAGGATATTTTTGTGAGTCTCTCACAAGTCGATGGGCTTTACTTTGTCTGCAATATTGATGACTTTAAATTTCTAGCAGATATGATTCAGCACATTCCACTAAATTTGCGATCACGATACGTCTTCTGCACTGCACCCTTGAACAGAAAAGAGCCTTTTGTGTGTACCACATTGTTGAAGGTCAGTTATTTTTTTTTTCTTCCCAAAAATGTCGTGTTTATATTGGAGCAAGTGGGTCTTGGTGCATTGAGACTGTAGCTGCTCTATTTGTTGTGGGTTTTGTAATTGGATCATTTGAGAGCATTCTAAAAGTGCTCACAAGTTGTGATATAAAAGAGCTGGAGATATATATATTAAAAAAGTGGTTTTTAAAAATTGCATTCTTCACTGGTTTTGTTGGCCAAAGCTTTTAACTTCTGAGAACTGATTCTTATTTTGTGATGTAAATTAAAATTTGGATAGCTTTTATGCTGTTTGCCTCAGAGAATCCCACTGCTTGCCCTGCAGGTGATCTTTGAATGGGGAGAGATCAAAATTGTATTAGGTAGTCAGTTGTGCACTAAGCTTTGCAAGACAGTGTGTCTAAAAGTAGTCCTTAAAAACCAAGATACTGCTGCTTCAAGGTGTTAGCTTGTCAACAAAAAAACCCAATGTGGGCTTAAGTGTGATTGCTGATGTTGTAATACAGTTGCATAGAATTAAAACCCCAGAAAATACAGTGCTGTAAGTTGCTCTCAGTATTACATCATTTCACTTTTCAGGCCTCGATGAACTGTTTTCCACTCTGCCCTCAGAGTGATTATTTTGAGGAATTTGTAGGAATTTTAGAGACGGTGTTAAACAATTTTAATAAAAAAGTGTAAAAAGGAAACCGATGTGATGCACTCACATCCCAGATATTAGACGTGTGCTTTCAAAACCAGCTAATAATGCTGATTGATTTAAAGAGTTGGGAAAAAAAATACTAAGTGCCTCATTAAGAAAATGCTGAGCATTCAGATCCCAAGTAATGAAGGTACGGAGGGGCATAATACGATGTCAGAGGGAGGTAGGCTGTTGTGAATGCCTGCATGAATTTAAGCCCTGTTCATTGGCAAAACAAAACAACTTCTGGTATCAGCCAGTTAGGAAGCAGTTATTCCACTAGTTATTCCACGTCATCAGTGCTCCTGAAAATGTTAAATTTAAATCTTATTTGGCATGTTTATCTGTTAGTAAAAGAGCTGAGATGTCTAGATTTCAGAAGGGCTGATTTCTAGTGCAGATTAATCTGTTTGGGTTGTGAATAGTGTGTTTCCTAAGTAAGGGAACACATTTAACATTTTCTCAACCCTGGAAATTCTGAGACAAGTTAATTAACAGAATAGGAGCAGGAGAAGACAGACAGACAAAGCCCATCTGTTTTGCTGTATGAAATCATATGCCTTCAGTGTTATGCTTTTCTGGATAGCTCTATACTTTTGTTGCTTAACTCTGTGCACAGCCCATGGACAAATTGTTTTAATGAGGCCTGGGAAAGGAGAGGTGACTCCTGTGTTGAGTAATTAAGTAAAAGAATGTTTGGCATTTGGGCTGTGTAAAACAAAGCAGGTATTTTCTGGAGTATTCTATGTATATGGACTCAAGGGCATTTAAGTCATTTGGGTTTTCTTCTTTCCTAACTGAGGACTTCACTGAATTTGCTTTTTTTTCAGTTTGCAAGACAGTTCAGTAGAAATGAACCTCTGACGTTTGACTGGCTTTGCCGGCACACCAAATGGCCGTTAGCTGCTCCGAAGAACATCAAAGAACTTGTACACCTTGAAGCTGTCCATGATGTTTTTGACCTCTATCTGTGGTTAAGGTATTGGTTTTGTGCCTGGAAATTATTTGTATTTTTTCCTAATTTTTATGACTTACAGTCCTAGAAAAGCAGTGTCTTCGAGCCTGTGTGGGCTCCTTTGATGGCCCTTTAGAGGATCTTGACAAATGCACGTGTAGCTATGTTGTGGGAGCAAGTCGTGGGTTCTGCAGAGAACAGTTTGTGACTGACAGAGAGACAGAAAGTTAGAAACAAGGTGATCCTGGATTGGAGCAGCTGAAATGCCACTTAAAATACAGTGGCCGTCCCATGCAACACGTAATTTTTTTTTTTTTTACTTTACATAGTATTTTGTCCCAGTCAGCAGTCCTTTAGTAAAAAGGTTTAATTGTGTGTTGTTTTGCCTCTCTTCAGTTACCGCTTCATGGATATGTTCCCTGATGCTGTCCTTGTAAGGGATATTCAGAAACAACTAGACGACATTATACAAGTTGGTGTCTGCAACATCACGAAGTTGATCCGAGCTTCGCAATCTGCTTCTGCTCCTGGCACAGCAGAAGTTGTGTCAGAAGACTTTCCTTTTTCAAGGACTAAGAGGGATACTAGGGTGGTTTCACACCATCATGGTGCAAAATCCACAGAGGCACTCTCTATTGCGGTGGAGGTTCCAACAGAAAGAAGAACAAGGAACTTGAAAGCCTATCGGTCTGCTACAAGGCAGGAGGATCTGAAGAGCCATGGACGTGGATCTCTTGCCAACAGATTGCTGCGTGAAGGACTTCTAACACAAGAAATGCTGAGACAGCTGGAGAGTGAGTGGCAGGATCAGCACAGGAATGGTAGAGAGGGCCTTGGTTCAAAAAGAGATGATCAGAATAATCCAAAGGAAACAGGGAAAAAGAAAAAATAGAATCCATGTCCTAATTCTGTTTAGTTTTTATTCATAAAATAAAATACTATTTTAATAACTTCTTTGGCATTTCATGTTTACACTGCTCCAGCTCATTGATGTTTTTCCTTCTCCTGTGACCGGTTACGTGAAGCACTCAGAGAAATGGACTCTTAAAAGCTCAGAGACCATAAGTTTGCTTTTACCAGTCAGCTGTACACTTCTTCAGTCGTGGTGTTCAGCCTGAGTGTATGATCTACTGCTATGTGAAAATCTGAACTTCATGTCTTCTTGCAAGATATCCTCACGCCATTAATAAACGTCAGATATTTCACTAGTAATGAATTAGCTACTCATTCCGTCCCTTCCCAAAGGGCAGAGTTTAACAGATAACAAACAAGTAATGAACAACCTGGCAGGAACTTGGATCAGAATGGTGATAGGAGACATGCCCCTCTGACCTTTGTGTCCTGTGAAAATGCAGGAGGAGGTGAAAAGTGTTTGTGTTAATGCATTGGGGAACGATGAAATTCTGCCCACAGGAATTTTTGAGTAAATTCCAATTCTGTCATCTGAGGGGTAATTACTGAAACAAAGCAAAATCTGTCGTTGCTCTTTAAATTGTATTCTTTCTCCTAGGAAAAGCTCATCACACTGCTTCAGGCAAAGTTTGGGCGGAGAAAAAGAAAAAAAGTTTGGATTATGATTTTTGGAGGAAGGAGGAGATGATAGAGGCATAGGTATAATTTACTTACTTTTGAGAAATTCAGATGTCTGTTTCTCCTTGACTTTTCTAGTTCAGTTTCATACAAATTATTTTGTTCCTTTGCACTTCATAAATGCCTTTTTGCTTCATGTGCCAGTTTGTGATATCTGAATTCTGTGAGGAGACATAAAATGTTTTACTTAAGCTCACATAACAGCTTATAGTCTGGTGGGTTGATATTTGTGCCAATAGTAATTCTTTTGTTCCGTTGCACTTCATAAATGCCTTTTTGCTTCACGTGCCAGTTTGTTTGTGATATCTGAATTCTGTGAGGAGACAAAATGTTTTACTTAAGCTCACATAACAGCTTATAGTCTGGTGGGTTGATATTTGTGCCAATAGTAATTCCACATACCTATTTTATCGTGGCTGTCATAAACTGGAAAAGTTAGGTGCTTACCACATGGAGGAAGGTTTAATTTGTTGGAACTAAGTTCTCGGGAAAAGCACTTCCCCCCCACGATCTAGTGTCACTGAATAATGTTTAAGGCAGCACACCACCAGGTTATGCCTCTGTCATACACACGCAGACGCTCTGCCATTTGTTTTTAGTGTAAGCAGCTTTAAGGTATGCTTCTGAGCTCCTGCTAGGGATACTGGAGAGTGAAAAGAACCACATGCTGAAACTGCTGTGTGTATTCACAGAAATGGGTTTCAGCACTAGAACGTGTTGCTGGGGCTGCCTGAGGAGGAAAATGTTGCAGCAACCATATTTTTGGGATTGGCTATTTACAAGTCTGCAGATCCTGCTTGTGTTAATCTTGGGATACTTGTAAAAGCCAGGTTGAATTTCACTGGATCAAATACCTGACTTTCTAAAATGATCAACCACATATCTCTGCTGTTTGAAAGTTTGCTCTGAATCCCCTTTGCTTCATCCTAGTATCAATCCTTTAAGCTGTTGTTCAGAAACAAGTCTGCAGCAGTTTGAAAACAGCTGTTAAAAACTTTGTTCAATGTATTTCATGTACTCTTCCCCATTATTTACTAAAAAGCAAGCAGTGCACAAATGTTTCTAGTGCACATGATCTCCTGCTGATGTCAGTGTCAGACTGGTGGGGAGGGAAGGTTTTGGGTCCTTCCTCTGCAAAGCCCCATCTTTCTTTCCTTCCCCAAGAAAAACCAAGCAGCTAGGTATGTGTGGCAGTGGCCATGTGAATGTCTTGAATTTTCTGCTTTGGGGATGAATAATCCTGCTTTGCTTTCCCAGAGTCCAGACAGCCTCTGCTTAACAGCAACATGACTGGCACAGAATGTGAGCTTGCAATTCACTCTTTCAAATGTATTTCATTTGACAGTGTTCACATAGCTTTTGTGATCTGGTTCACATGATCGAGTGGTATCAATTGTCTCCTTGTGTCCTTTGCATTTAACAGACTTGATGGGAAGTAGGAATTGCTCAAGCCTGCAGATGGGTTTTGACAGCATGCATTTGTCCACTCAGCTCTGGGGCTGCAGACTCCTTGATGGATCTGCAAACCACTGTTTAAAACCACACTTGTGCAAGGATGATTCTTCTGTTTTCTGCCCCCCAGTGCACGTGGGGCTGGGTTGCAGGAGACCGGCGCTGCTACTGTACTTTGCTTCTAGTCTGTTTTGATAAATTTATCCTTTAATTGTATGCTAAGCTGCTTACTAGTGTATATTTTTGAGCAAGGAAAGAGGG